GACTAAAATACCCTTATACTCCGAAAGAATACAGCCTAAACTGATGCTTGGATCTACATGGTATTATTTGGCACGACATTGACAAAAACCCCTTGTTGGGATCTTATGATGTTCTAAAATAAGCCTTCAATAAAGAAATTGGAGTTTGAGTTATTGTGTGACGTGCGAGAGAAAATTGACGCAGTTATTTTGTAAATTAGGTTTCTAGATGCATTGCTGACACCAATGTGGACTTTCGCAATGTTTAATTTCTTGGTTACTTCAAGCACGTAAATTTACAGCTTTACCCATGAAAAAGGGTAATTTGGTCAATTGGAGAATAGGAAATTTGTTGTCATTCAACCTTGTGTGGGCGTCTGACCATACGCGTTGAAAAAAGTCACCAATTTTCCTCCTCAAAACAAGAAGAAAAATAGATTAAAAAATGGAAAGTCTAAAGATAAAATGGAGGGTATTTTGGTCAAAAAATGCCGAATATGAGAAAACCTACGGCGAAGCGAGGCGGCGGCCGGAATTACGTAAGATTAAACGCCTTAATTGTCCTTGAAATTTGGGGAACAGAGGCATCAGAGTCCCATGCAAAGAGGGTATTATTGTAAATTTAGAAACAGAAAAAATGGTAACAAGTAGGCCTGAATCTGATGACTTCTCCTAGAAGCGTGGCAGAAAATATTCAGATTTTATAGGGTATAATCGTCAATTACAATGATACACAGCTGCTGACTCACACCGTCGGCTACCAGAAAAGCACCGCCAACCGCCACTTAAATAAATAATAAATGAAGAATATGAAATTTTTTACGTTCACAAACCTTAGATCTTGTGGAGTTATAGAGTTTAGGAAGAGTAGGGGATCTGCTGGACTCTTCAGGGCAACCGTCGATAGCGCCACCGCTGAGACAGGTGGCACCGCTCCATGACAGTGGTGTGGTAGGACTGGCTCTCGGAGCCGGATTCTTAACATTATCAACCGCGACTGGTTTTGACCGGCGCTGACGCACGCTCCACTTCAGCGGCGGTGGAGGTGGAGGCGGAGGCATGGATTGGCACTTCTTAAGCCGCACTAATAGCTCCACTACCATCGTGTCATCAGCCATCGCCTCCTTTATCCACTCTTCGTCACCTGCCATGGCTCTTGCTATGTCGTTGCCTGGTCAGCGGAGGGTATCGTGGGGTGGGGTTGGAGGAATGAAGGAGAAGTTATAAAATTTGTATATTAATGATATGGTGTGTCATGAATTTTATACATATGCGTGCTTCTTCAATGGGGGAGATGCTTATTCACACCACCTACTGTGCGTTTTGATGACTTTGTTCTGTACTAATGGTTGGACTCATCACCTTTTTTTTTTTTACATTTTTATTTCTCTTGTGGGACCCATCAATGCGTGGACCCCATTTAGGGAATGTGGCATGCTTAAGTTATTACTCGTATGGCATTTGATATTTTTATATATAGATTAGAAAAATATGAAATAATATCACGTATTTATTTATTTTTTTTATTTTGCCAAATTAAATCAGAGGATCAAATCACATTAATTACCATTAATTATAATTAAAATTAAAATTTGGATCCCACTATTTAAATGGTGGTAGGAGACAATTTCCTATTTTGTTTCAATGTTGATTGAGTAGTAAGTTAACATTTTCAAAAAAAAATTCCTTCTCACGTTTGGTACAAATTAAAATCAATATTTTAATCCAAGTCATATCAATATTTTAATTTTAATCACATATTTCATTGGACTTAGAACTTTTCAACCACACATTTCATAGATTTTTATTAAAATTTGCAAATAATAATAATAATAATAATTTTAATCTCTGCCAAACAAAAATTATATCTATAGGATACCGAGCAAGTGTTAACACTCTTATTTGACTCGATATATATAGAACAATACTTTCTTTATTATGTATATTTTCATAAGATTTAATCGATATTATCTAATTCAAGGTGTTGAATATTGTACACTTATGATTGTGTTTGAGTGAGTGAAATTTTTGATGGGT